CGGGCCATTTGAGATGCCCTGATACCAGTTCTAGGTCTGACGGGGACGATTTCATTCTCTGAGTCTTGATCAAGATCGATACAGTCAGGAACCGTCTCCTTCTTTGAACAAATAAGATAAAAGAAGGTAAAAATCAGTCAGTTGGAGTAAAGAATAATAAACGATCCAAAATCAGGAAACAAATTACTTACACAAGTCTTTTTTGGTTTTTTTTTTCTGGCCGTTGAATCCAACTGATTGTTAGCTCGTTTTCTGGTCAATGGTGATGGATGTTGGATAGATTCTTGCTCGTCCTCAGAGTTTGCAAGAAAAAGTCCATCGATTGGGGCAAATGGAGCGTTGGAGGGACCTGGAGTTGGGGGCAAAGTCTGGGTTGGAGATGGAGAGGCAAGCTGAAGAGATCGTCGAGAGTCCGCTGAGGTAAAGATGAAGCCCGGCTGAGGTTGAACAGGGGATCTTGGCCTGAGAATCCATACTGAAGGAGACAGGTTTGGCGCTGTCAATGGTGGAGCCAGACTGATTCGAGAGTTTGTTCGAATTGGTCGGTTGGACATGAGTATGAGCAGTTGTGATTGAGGTAAGATTAATGGTATGGTATTAAATAAAATGTAATCGGGTTTGAGGTAGAGCAAATGAAAGGGTGGGTCGGAAACGGAAAAAGAGGAAATCGGGTGGTAATCAATATTATTAGATGGTGTGGTTGAAAAACAATAACAAAACGGGAACTGGGAGGTGGAGACCAATGATCAGTTAGAGAACAGTAGCTTTTTATATCAGTCAAGAGAGTACTTACGCTGAGATTGGATACCACTCTGAGGGATCGCATTTGTCTTGACCGTTCTTGCTGTGAATTGGTGGGGGAGGGAAGACGACCATTTGATTAAGTGAGGGTGGTGGGCAATGGAGTTGGTCGTAGGTCAGAGTTGATGGGGCACAGAGGGCATGGACAAATACATGTCTTTGGCGTAGAGGGCATGGGTATATACAGGTATACAGGTCATAGCGCTCGCTATGTGTACCGCCATGGATGTGGACATGCTACATACAAGCTCAAGCGTTGCACATAACCCACTACAGGAAATTTTGGTTTCCAAATAGTGCTGTGCACCAGCCACTACGACCACACCCCCTATTTTTAGTGGAAGTCCCGCAGCGCTTCCGCAGCACTTCCACTATCTATGGTGGTGCGGTTTTGACGTTGTTCAGGGAGTGAAGATTAGATAGAACAGTTGCTTCAAGTTATTCTGGTTGGAACATAATAAATCTTGGTTTGAATGATTGTGGGTTGAGTTCTGCATCTTTAAGTCGATTGATTTAAGAGCTAGATGTTGATATATTTGCATTCTTATATCTTTTAAACCAGATACTTGATAGTCTACTCAAAAGTTCTTCCAACACCTCGATCAATTGATGCTTGATATTGTAGTTGCTTTAGGATTTGTTTGATTGCAAAATCGAATCAAAAACTTGTTTTCTGATTAATTTTCACTGACTCAAACCATATTTTACCTGTTTAAGTTTTGTATAACACAGAGTATTCATTTACTGATCTTTGCACTCATATTTTGTTATAGTGATAAGGATAGACCTGATTTAGCAGATCGCAAAAGATTAGTAATAGAGTTTGGAACTGTTGTAGTTATCAATAAGTTTGATTTATCATTGGTATTAGCTGTTACATGTGTACCCTTTGCAGATATGGAATCTGAGCTTAGAGAAAAATATAATCAAGGTCAAAATCACTTCACTATGCACAGCTATATGGCAGGTCCTTGGTAGTGGTGTGGTGCACCACTATTTTGAAGAACCAATACACCCCACTATCTGCATACACCCGCTATGGATCATATGTAGTGGGGTGTGTTAGTCACTCACACTCACTGTGATACTGTATCACTAGCACTATAATAGTGCACATGTTTTTTTGAATGTGAAAAAAGAAATTTATCAAAAGGCCTGAAGTGCACTACCTATAAAATATGTACAAAGAACTATCACTACGCAAAATGTAATCTTTACCGGGCGGTAAAGAAAACTACTGACATAGAAAAATCCTGAGGCAACAGGAAGAGAGCTAAAAATCTGAAAAAATATGCACCTTGTTCCTAGATGTTGGGGTGTCATGATGAGTATTTTTTTGTATTTTACACACAGATATTGGTTAGTGTACTAACCATAAAGGCTGAAAATCATCAAAAACCCACCTGTAACAATACCTGAAATTTGGGTCATGATCATGAAGACAATATTTTGTGGTCTAAAAACTTCAACAACTTCTGCAATTCTGCTCCAAATAACTCGATTTTTGGCTCAGTCAAAAGCTGAACCATTCTCCTTTACACTTCATAAAGGTAGTAAGGTGTTATTTAGTCATGTAAACGCTCTACATATGCTCAAACAGTTCTGCATGAATTGCTCTGTAGGATCTTTCGTAGACCGGCTACAGGTGTGTTGTCTCAATGATAAATGTAAAGGAAAGACTCACCTTTTGATGAACTAAATGA